AGCATCCAGAAAGCCTCCTTCACACATCCATGCACACAGACAGGCATGTGCTCCCTGAACTTCCTTTTAGAAATGAATGGAAAAATTTGGGACAAGACAGATGAGTTTTGAGTCCCTCCTGGCCACCTGCTGCTTATGTAATTCTGAGCGTGTTACATAACCCCTCCAAAGGGGTAGAAAAAGGGACATATGTTTAGAAACTTGATCACATAGTTTATCCTCTACCAATTTAGCAGTTTATTTCCCCCCTCACCCTTTTGGGTGAGGGTGACAACAGAGCTAGAACATAAATTGTATGTTCCCTTTAAAATTTTTTTTTAGTATTTCAGGTTTTTTAAAGGTAGTACTTACATATGACAAAACTTTCCTAAGTGGTACAGTGAAGTTCCTTTTCTTCCTGCTTCCTCAGGCACCCCATTCTCCACAGAGGCAGCCAGTGTTTTCAGATGTCTGTATTCTTCCACAGTCATTCCGTGCATACACAAGTACATAAGCGAATATGTATGTCAGTATGTTTATATCTATGTACTTGCTTATATGTATGTTTTCCTTTTTGTTACAAATAGCTGTGTGACTGTTTTGAACCTTATTTTTCCAATAGTATCTTGGGTATATTTTATATATATCACTAGGCACCCTTAATGTCTTTAATTGCACAGTATTCCATTATAGAGCTGTTCCATAATTTATCCTATCCCTGCTGATGAATTGTTTAGGTCATTTCCAGACTTTTCCTGCTACAAACCATGCCATAACATCGTTGGGCCTATGTCACTTTGCACTTCGCACTTTGATAGACCTGACCAAGTGGCCCTCGTAGAATCTGTAGTAGTTTGCTGGCTCACCAGTGACATGAGAGCAGACTGAGTGTCTAAGCCTGTGTGGCGCCCTGATACCTCTGGGTCAGATCCCCCAAGTCTGACATTTGCCAGAACAACTCAGGTTACATTGCATCTGTGTGTGTGTGCACACCTGAGAGTGCTTGCACATGTGCAATCTCATTTGAAGAAAGTTGTTTTGGCTAAGTGGCTAAGAAAAATGGGAACCGGATATAGGTAATCATCACTGTTCCTTCTTGTAGCCCACCAGTTTGAAACAGTGACTGAGAAAATGAGATTGCTCCATACCCAACAAGAAAATCCTTATGCAAGGTAGAGAGAATGGTTCAAGTGGCAGCTGAAAATACAGAGTGGATAGATTTCTAGGAAGCAGAAGCCAGTGTTTAAGGAGATGAGATTTGGTCTCATAGCCACCAATGTTAGCTAGTGTTCTGCAGAAGGTCAGCTTATTTGAACCAACTATAGGGGCTTGTCGTGTGTCAAGTCCTGTACTAATGCTGGGAATACAAAGATGAGTGTGACCAGTCCCAGCCCTCAAGAAGCTTATACAGCAAAGTCAGGCGTATAGGAAGACAAGTTCCACATGACATCAAGAGGCCATGGCAGTAATGACTGTCGACTCTTAGAGCCTATTAAACACCAGACATGCGCTCAGTACTTCTGTCTATCTCACCTAATTCTATGAAAACCCTCTAAGAGTGATTACGGTGTTATCCCCATTGCACAGATGAGGACATCAAGATCCAGGGGTGTTGAGGGGCCATCGCAACACCACATAGTTAAGTGGCAAAGCTGGGACTTAGACTGAGGACTGTCTCACTTCAAAGTTTTCAGGGAAAACAGGGGTAATGTTGAACTAAAAACTCATCTCCCTCCTTCATTAAATGGTTTTCTTCCTCCTCTTTTTATAGCACCACATTATTTTTCAGGGTGAGGGTGGAAGGAGGATCAAGGAAGACCTTTGGAGGGAGATGTGCCCTAAACTGTGGCTCAAAGAATGAGTGAAACTAAGGGCAGCTTTCCAAGCAGAGCAGTTCTTGGGCTGATCCCAAGGAAAAGCAACCTCCAGGAGTCAGGAAGTTTCTGACACAGGGAGGCAGGTGAGTGGAGTGGGTAAGAGGGCAGCCTCTGCAACCGAACTGACTTCAAATCCTGGCTTGGCCCCTTGTTAGTTGAGTGACTTTGGGTGCCCTCAAGAAGCTTATACAGCAAAGTCAGGCGTATAGGAAGACAAGTTCCACATGACATCAAGAGGCCATGGCAGTAATGACTGTCGACTCTTAGAGCCTATTAAACACCAGACATGCGCTCAGTACTTCTGTCTATCTCACCTAATTCTATGAAAACCCTCTAAGAGTGATTACGGTGTTATCCCCATTGCACAGATGAGGACATCAAGATCCAGGGGTGTTGAGGGGCCATCGCAACACCACATAGTTAAGTGGCAAAGCTGGGACTTAGACTGAGGACTGTCTCACTTCAAAGTTTTCAGGGAAAACAGGGGTAATGTTGAACTAAAAACTCATCTCCCTCCTTCATTAAATGGTTTTCTTCCTCCTCTTTTTATAGCACCACATTATTTTTCAGGGTGAGGGTGGAAGGAGGATCAAGGAAGACCTTTGGAGGGAGATGTGCCCTAAACTGTGGCTCAAAGAATGAGTGAAACTAAGGGCAGCTTTCCAAGCAGAGCAGTTCTTGGGCTGATCCCAAGGAAAAGCAACCTCCAGGAGTCAGGAAGTTTCTGACACAGGGAGGCAGGTGAGTGGAGTGGGTAAGAGGGCAGCCTCTGCAACCGAACTGACTTCAAATCCTGGCTTGGCCCCTTGTTAGTTGAGTGACTTTGGGCACATCACTCAACCTCTCTGATTCTTTGCCTATAAGCTGGGGTTATAAAGTGCTTACCCCCTAGGTTATTTATTGTAAGGATTGAATGAGTTAATGAATCTGGCATGCTTAGAATAGTGCCTGGCACGTGCCCTGTATGTTTGTTCCCACTACACAATCTCCAGGCTCCAGGCTCAACCTAGAAGTAAGAAAGAGGAAAGCAAAATTTTGAAGCCTGTCTTTGGTGCTTATTATAGGGAACTATTACATGAGCTCACATCATGTAATGTGGTGCTATAAAAGGAGAAGGAAGCGGAAAACCATTTACTGGAGGAGGGACATGGGCTTTTAGCCCAGAATTGTCTTGTCAAGCATGGTTGTGCTTATCAGCTTTCAGTTACCATCTTTTAATGTGAGTCAAAAATAGATTTTATAATTTGTTGTCTATTTCTTTACGACATCTTTATTTGGTATTAAAATGTAATGGTCTGTCTCAAATAAGGCAAAAAGGTGGAGGAGGATAAAATAAAAGGAACCTCATTTGATGTAACTCTTGATTTTCCCCTTTCCCTCTTTGATGCCATAAAATGTTTTCAAAAAACCCTACGGAAAATAGAAGACGAATGATGTAACTTCCTCATTCACCCACAGAATATTTGTCCCTTATCCACTGACTCAGATTATTTTTTTCTAAGAACAGTATTCTATAACAGAGTCCAAGAGAAGTAAAAGAGAGAAGAAAATACTTCTGCAAGGAATCAGTTGATATGATTTACATTTTTGTCTTCTTATTCTCTGCCTTTCTCTCCTTTATATGTTGTCTCAAACTCACTTTCCCACCTCTGTCCCCAGATGAAACCCCATGCTGGTCCATCTTTCTCTAGGCCATTTCCCCCCCTTCCCACTGTTTGAACAACTGTTGGGAATCTATCATCTTGAAGAAAAACAATAGCAATTTTCCCAGCATAAACTCTCATCAGCCCCATTTCTATTCAAAGACCTCTACTGTGTACCAGCCACTCACTAGATCCTGGGGCTGCAGAAATTATGGTGATTCAGCCTGTTGTCTTGAATGAGCCATTTTTTCTGAGACTTCCGTGGGAGGAAAGGCATGCAAAAGGAGTTTGATTCTGCCACCTCTGCCGTTCGATCACGGTCATTTCTTCCACGGTCTCTCCTCCCCACCTGACCATCAACCTCTCAAGGACAAAGATTCTATGTGTTTTGTTTACCACTGTATCAGTACCCTCCAGAGTGCCTTGAGGAAACACTGCTGAATGAATGAATGAATGAATGAATGAATGGAAGCAAATGACAACACAGCATGGTCAGTAAACTGATGCACTTGTAAGATAAGTAGCACAGAGGAGGGAGCACTGAACCCTTTGGGGGCAGAAGTGCAGTTGAAAGGATGAAGAGACCTGATGGGGGAGGTGATGTTTGGGTTTGGAAGCCCGTGGCTAGCAACACTGATACTCCTTGCATGGTGTTCGACTCATAGGAAGTATTCAATGGAGTTTTCTGGGTTCAACTTTACAATTTATGCAACATTATGTTTATGCTATCTCTAATATTCTACTATCTACACATTTCCGGGAAGGGAAGACATGGCCACTTCACGCTGCATTATGTGGCCCTGGAAGCCCTATCTGTCACCTGGAGAACCTCTCAGTAGGGTAGGAACACCTACTAGAAAACTTAGTGTTGCAATGTGTGTGTAGCAACCCTGTGAGGAATTCTGGAGGCTGGGGGACCACTGGCTGAGAGAGAAAGCATTCTTAAATATATGCTTTAGAAGAGGGGTCCACTCCAGGTAAGAACATAGCAAAGGAACAGAAAGAGGTGGCTCACCTCTCACCTAAGCCAGAACCAGCGCTCATTGCCTAACTCCTGTATCCACCACCCAAGCAAGTTGCAGATCTGAAAATTCCTAAACAACTAGGTGATTATGACTTGGAAGGGGAGGGGGGCAGAAGACAAGAGGAGATAAAAACAAACTACATTTTTAGGTGAATTTAGCTAATGACCTTAGTGAAAAAAGACAAGTTATGAGGCCTAGACTTGCTATTCGCTTATTTTAAGACTTCTTAATTTCATTTAGCCCAAGTCCTCCATGACCTAATGATGCTAACACACAGGAGACTGAGAACTACAAGTACTGAGATTTGTGAGCTTCCTACCTGTGGGATGATTTCTGGGCTCTCTCATGCTGTTGCAGACATAATCTCCTTATGACTGACTGAAGACATCTCTATATGAGAAACTCAAATTATGTCAATAATTAGATCACTCACTTCCAATTAATCTTCAACTTGTGTTTTCAATATCTGTGTACAGCTTCATCATACACAACAAAGACACTTTCTTCAACAATGCCACAAGAAGTAGAATTATACATCATATTTTACAAAGAATAAAGTATGAAGAAGGAAAAAACAAAATTGGTAAGTAGTATATTAGTATGACAAGTTACATTTGATTTCGGGGATTAGAGACTTTTTCCTATGGTTTTGCTGAGTTTATATCAATTTTAGAGATGTTCATCATTTATGAAACCCCTAATTAATCCATTGATGGATAACTCACAAGTGTAAAATCTTAATACCATCCTTAGTTCTCTTTTTCAAATAGCATGTTATCTCATTTACCTAAGATCATGGAGAAAGTCTCTCAGTTCAACAAATATTTATAGAGTACCTGTTTTGTGCCACTCACTGGGGTAGATATTGGGGAGATGACCACATTTTTGAGATGTTAAAATCAGACAACAAATAAGTAAATATAATAAGTAACAAGAAGTTGAACTGGATAATGTTATAGACACAGACAGTAAGGGGTGGGGGTGAGTTCAAGCTGAGAGGGAGTGGTCAGGGAAAGCTTCCGAGAAGCTGAAATTTGAACTGAAACCTGAAAGACAAGGGGACCAATGTGGGGACCTGGATGGGTGGGTGCTTCAGGCAGAGGCCCTGGGAGGACAGAGATGAGCTGTTAGACGTAAGTAAATTCTCCAAATAATCACCTTCTCCATTAAACATCTCCCACAATTTATATTTTGGACATTTTTATGAGAATCTTTTCATGTTATATTACCAAATTTCCTGGTTTATTAAACAAATTATTATATTTCAGAAGGATTTGGGTGGCTTTGTCCTTATCTCTGTGCCAGCAAGATTTTTATCACTAGTGTGAATAATGACCTATATCAGTCTGGGTCCAATTAGGAGACAAAAATCACACATATTTTGAACAGGGAAAAATTAATGTCAATACCCATGAACAGAGGATTGGAGTCATAATGGAGGACTGACTAGTAAAGGGTGAGAAGACCATAAAGAAGAGAGGAAGAGCAGATACCAGGAGCAGCCACCACCCTGGAACAACTTCCCTGCCACAAGGCTGAGAAGCAGACCCTGGTAGAAGGGGTGAAGCTGGGGTTCACTAGGTGGCAGAGCGGTTTGCTGAGGGTTCTGTGCCAGTAGGACTCTGGGAATCTCCCTGTCAAGTGCTGGGGGAAGCTGCCTGGAGAGTGAAGGATGCCATTCACTGGTAGGTGTTACACCAGTACTGCTGCTCTGTAAAGCTGTCCAAAGGTGTACCAGCCCTTGGGGAGGTGCGACGTGCTGCTGGCTTCCATGTCCTGCAGAAGCTGGGTGCCAGAGGAGCCATAGGTTGCAGAAGCCTTCTGAGAGGAACATGCTGATACCAGGAAGACAAACTCCTTCCTCTTCCAGTGTCCCTCCAACACCTTCTACTGATGAAGCTTAACCTTGTACCATGTGGCAAAGGACAAATATTTACAGGGTCCAGCTCCATTATTGCAAAGTAGACAATGAAACTGCATTTGGAGCTAAAGGAGAGTAAATTGATCACTGGCACATAGTTTAAACAGCCTGCTGACCAAGATTTCAGGTGGGATGGAGATTGGAAGGATGCATTAAATGTGTTAATCATTAGAGTCAAGAGCCTAAAAGATCTCAGTGATCCGGAAATCTCAACCACATCCAACAAGATGACACTTTATAGTTTGTAAATGTAAAGTCCTACACTCAGATTCAGCAAACCACCCTGGTACAGAGTAGGCAAGATGTTGCTCAACAACATCGTGAGAAGAGCAGACTTGAGATGTTTAATTGAATGCAAGCTCAGTGTGAGTCACTAGTATGATAGCTGCCAAAAATTAATTTGATCCCAAGCTGCAAAAATTAAAGTATAATAAGAGGAAACAAAGAGCTACCTAGTTCACAGCTGAATATACTTGGAATGATATGTTCGGTGAGAGTCACTCTGGGTGGGTATGATGAAATCAAACCTGATTTAGGTGTTTGTTAACTTCAGTGGGATTGTGGGTTAGCACATCCCCATGTTCTCTATAATAGTCATTCATCCTTGAGACACATCCTCCATGAAGTCCTCCATGACCATTCCATCCCAAAGGACTTCTTCCCTCTTCTGAATTCTTATGGCAATTATTTTTCGAGTGTTTATGTGATGATTAATCATGCACGACTCCTATTTTATTTTCTTGAATAAGTGATTTTCAATCTATCACCTAAATAAAGCACCACTGTTAACATCTTAGCATACTAAATAAATCAAATATTACATTAATTATTTTTCTCATATTTATTCTCTATTTCTGCATGTGATTTTTTTAAATGAACTTCTGTGTTGCACATACTTTGTAATCATACCTTTTTTTCATTTAACATCACATCACGAACATACTAGAAAATAGTGAATGGAAGTGAAATGATTATGGCAGTAGCTATTCTGGATTTTTTCCTAAAATGTGAATAATTAAAAAAAGAGCACCTTCACTAGTATTCATTTTCTAATTGCAGCACTCATTATAACACTAATCAGCTAAAAACTGCTAGTCTAGATAATCCCCTTAATTGTAAATAAGTTGTCTTATTCATCTTTGTATCATTATTGCCTAGCACAGTATCTGGCATGTAGTAGGAGTGCTGTTGATTGATGTCTAACCATCAGCATCCTTACACAATCAAGAACTGTGTACATGAGGCCATTCAGCAATTGTGCTGAAATTCTTCATCTCAAAATGTGGGTTATCTTTGCAACTAATCAAGATGGAGACAAAAGAAGGACAGAAACAGTGAGTTTTAAATGTTCTGAAGAAATACAGGAAATGTATTGTTACTAGTAAGAAATGATCTTGTCAAAGATTCTCTCATTTGATCAAAGGAGAATTCTAATCAGAAACCCCAAATGCTTTGAAAACTGGTAATGATTAACTAGAAAAGTATCAAATTGGAAATAACCAGTCACAGAGTAAATTGTTAACCCAGGCATTAATGCTGAAAAATACAGAGTAAAACTACAAATGCTCTGTTAACCCAATATTTTGTTATCATCTTTGGTTTCATAAATAAAAGAAACAACTTGTTAGAAAAAAATTTAATTTATTGACAGAATTAATGTTTATCCAGTGTTTTTTCTGCCTGAAACTCTTCTGAAAATGGCATTTTGCATGAGCCAACATTGATTGGAAATAACACAAAAGTACTGATTGTAAACATGACTCATAAAAGTATTTCAGTAGAGAGTAAACTATCACTATGTAAGTTTTTAACTTCACTCTGAAGTTTTTGCAACTGTGAAAATCAAGCCTGTTGAGATCCATCTTCAAAACAGAGCAATTAATACATCAACAAAGATTTATTTAACATAAGGCATAAAATAAATCTTCAAGTTGATTTACATTTTCCTAATTGGTGCTCAGAGAAGTTAATAAAGTGTTAGACTTCAAATATTAACTACTTTCTCTCTTTGCAGGACTTTCATAAATTATGATAAATTTATAAAAGCCATCACTAGAGATATAGTTTGAAATGATTCATAGGTAAAAGAAGTCAAAAAATAAATAAAACTTATCAAATGAAATGAAAATGAAAACACAACATATCAAAAAGTGTGCCATACTTAAGGAAAAATTTATAGCACTATACACCTCTAAAGGAAATGTCCCAAATTAATGATGTTAAGAAACTAGAAAAAGAAAAGGAAATTTAGGTAGATGAAAGAAAATAATAAAAATCAGAGAAGAAATCATTGAAATATGAAAAAAAATCAATGAAACTAAAAGCTGGTTCTTTGGATAAAAAATCAATAAAATACAAAATCCTTGTAGTGGACAAACCCTATGGTGGAAACTGTGGTTTATGTCTAACCAGTAGACATAAACCACAGTTTCCACCTAACCAAAAGAACATTGCAAAGGTGATTATGTCACTCCTATGATTATGTTACATTATATGGCAAAGTTTAAGGGATTTTGTAGATGTAATTAAGATCCTTGACAAATTTGACTTAATCAAACAGGAGATTATCCTTGGTGAGCCTGACCTAATTAGGCAAGACCTTTAAAAGATGGTTTAGGCCTTCCCCAAGCTCAGAAATTTGAAGCAATGGCTCCCTCTCTCCATGGCTGGTTTTGAAGAAGCAAACTGCTGTGAAAACTGCAGCTGCAAAGAAATTAATTCTGCCAACAACCTAAGGAAGCTTGGAAATGAATCCTTTCCTAGTTGCACCTCCAAATGCGAATATAATCTGACCAAAACTTTAACTTCAACTTTGTGAAACCCTGAGCAGAGAAGCTAGCTAAACCATGCCCAGACTTCTGACCAATAGAAGCTATGAGATACTAAATGGATATTGTTTTTACCTACTGCATTTCTTTTAATTTGTTGCATAGTGAGGTAAAAGTAATACAAACTTCCAGATAGCTTAATCAGGAAAAAAAGAGAGAAAGAAAAGACATATTTCCAAATTATCAGGAATAAGGGAGGTGATATCATCATAGAAATTGACAGGATATTAAGGTAATATGAATAATCTTTTGTCACTAAATTTGACAACTTAAATGGACAAATTCCTTGACTCATTCAACAAGAAATAATCAAAACATATCCAATAAGAAATAGCCTGATTAGTCATATATATATATATGAAATTAAATTCATACTTAAAAATTTTTTCAAAAAAGAAAAGTCCATGGCTAGATTGTTTCTCTGGTGAAATCTGTCAAGCATTCAAGAGAGAAGTAATGCCAGTTCTACAAAACCCTTTCACAAAATTGAAGAGTAGGGGATACCTCCCATCTTATTCTATGAGGGTAGTATTACCCAGGTACTAAACGATGCAAAGACAGCACTAGAAAAGGAAACCACACATCAACATCTTTCATGAATATAGATGGAAACATTATAAACAAAGTTTAGCAAAGAAAACCCAACAATATATAAAAAGATGAAACACCATGACCAAGTAGGGTTTATCCAGGACTATGAGGCTGGCTTTGTATTTGAAATTTGATGAATATAATTCACCACATTGGCAAGGTAAAAAAGGAAAACCATATGAACATCCCTATAGACACAAAATGCATTTGACAAAATACTACATCCATTCCAGATAAAAACCC